TTCTCACATCCTGGAGTATCAATAATCATGAGAACAGTGAGGAATCATCCCAGAACTACATGTGAGGATCTTGTCAATGATCTCCAGGAAGCTGGGACCACAGTCACGAAGAAAACAGTTGGTAACACACTAAGCCAACAAGAATTGAAATCCTGCAGTGCCCCAAGGTCCCTCTGCTCAAGAAAGCACATGTCCAGGTCCGTCTGAAGTTTGCCACTGAACATCTGAATGATGCAGAGGAGGACTGGTTGAAAGTGTTGTGGTCAGATGAGACCAAAATCGAGCTCTTTAGCATCAACTCAACTCGCCGTGTTTGGAGGAGGAGGAATGCTGCCCATGACCCCAAGAACACCATCCCAACTGTCAAACATGGTGGTGGAAACATTCTGCTTTGGGGGGTTGTTTTTCTGCTAAGGGGACAGGACAACTGCACCGCATCAAAGGGACAATGGACAGGGCAATGTACCATCAAATCTTGGGTGAGAACCTTCTTCGCTCAGACAGGGCATGGAAAATGGGTCGTGGATGGGTGTTCCAGCATGACAATGACCCAAAAGGAGTGGCTCAAGAAGAAGCACATTAAGGTCCTGGAGTGGCCTAGCCAGTGTCCAGACCTTAATCCGAATGAAAATCTGTGGAGGAAGCTGAAAGTTCAAGTTGCCAAACGTCAGCCACCAAACCTTAATGACTTGGAGAGGATCTGCCAAGAGGAGTGGGCCAAAATCCCTTCTGAGATTTGTGCAAACCTGGTGGTGAACTACAGGAAATGTCTGACCTCTGTGATTGCCAACAAGGGATTTGCCGCCAAGTACTAAGTCATGTTTTGTGAAGGGGATCAAATACTTATTTCCCTCATGAACATGCAAATCAGTGCATCATTTGTTAGACATGCATTTCTTTTGAATTTTTTGTTGCTATTCTGTCTCTCAGTGTTACAATACAGCTAAAATTCGATTTTTAGACTGATCATTTCTTTGTGAGTGGGCAAACATTCAAAATCAGCAGGGGATCAAATACTTATTTCCTTTACTGTACCAGTAATTGTATCATGTTTCTTTTGATATTTTTTTTTATGCAAAAAGGCACTTCTGTTGCATTGGAAGAGTGCTGCTCTGCCCACCATAACCTATGTCTGTCATTTGATCAACCAAGCGCTATACTTTTGTAAACTCATCTGTAAGAGTCATGCCTTTCCTAAGAAATTTTCAAAATAATGGAAACCCTGGTTGGAGTATTATTTTCTTACCTTGGTCTGAAGAAAGAGTTGTGTGTATGTGTATATGTGTGTGTGTATCTGTATGTTGTATTTTGTCTGCATTAGTTGGTTACTATCTTCCTTTAACCACTAGGGGACCGCCAGCAGTAAATATACTGCTACAAGGCGGCCCCTGTGCGCAGGATCACGTATATAAACATGATCCTGTATTCCGGAGTAGACGGTGCGCGCGAGGCACGTGACTGCCGTACCCGCGGCACCGATCGCAGCCGCGGGTGTCAATCACCGGGTCCCGGCTGGTGATTACCCGCCGGAGCCCGGTAATTGCCGGCAATCACTGACAGAGAGGAAGGCTGTATTGTTTTCATTGCAGCTTTCCTCCCTGTCAGCTTTCAGCTCACTGTTCCGGGATAGCAGGACACAGCCTTCTGGGACAGTGTGTAAGAGAGGTTCACACCCCCGCCCCCTAGTTAAACACTCCCCTCACACAGTTAACCCTTTGATTGTCTTCAAAAGTTAACCCCTCCCTCCCCAGTGCCATTATTACACTGTCAGTGTTTTTATTTTGCACTGATCACTGTATTGGTGTCACTGGGGATGTCAGTGACCCCAAGTCAGTTCCCCCTCAGTGTCAGAATGTCCACCGCAGTTCTGCCGTCCCGCCATAAGTCGCTGATCGCCGCCATAAGTCGCTGTTATTAGTATAAAATAAATTTAAATTCCAGTACACCGTGTTCCAAATTATTATGCAAATGCTATTTTTCTCATTTTCTAAATAATTGATGTAAATAACAGTCAGCATAATTCTCATGTTATCAACTATTAAGAGTACAATTCAAATTTTATTGAACAAACCTCCTAATGATAACAGTATTTTTTTAAACATAAAAAAACAATGCACTGTTCCAAATTATTACGCACAGTACGTTTCAAAATACTTTATAGGTTGTAAGGAACTGAAAATTGTCATTTGTTGTGTTTGCAGCATATTTACTGAAATCAAAAGTTATTTCAATCAAACTTTTAAAAACATTTTAACTTTTTAAACATTTTAACAGGTCACGTTACATTGTAACATAGGACCCCTTATTTGATAGCAGCTTCACAAGTCTTGCATCCATTGAACTTGTGAGTTTTTGGACAGTTTCTGCTTGAATTTGTTTGCAAAATGTCAGAATAGCCTCCCAGAGCTGCTGTTTGGATGTAAACTGCCTCCCACCCTCATAGATCTTTTGCTTGAGGATGCTCCAAAGGTTCTCATTAGGATTGAGGTCAGGGGAGAATGGAGGCCACACCATGACTTTCTCTCCTTTTATCCCCATAACAGCCATTGATGCAGAAGTATTATTTGCAGCATGAGATAGTGCATTGACATGCATGAAGATGATTTTTTTACGGAAAGTATAGTTCTTCCTTCTGTACCAGGGAAGAAAGTGGTCAGTCATAAACTCCACATACTTTGCAGAGGTCATCTTTACACCTTTGGGGACCCTAAAGGGGCCGACCAGCTCTGTTCCCATGATTCCAACCCAAAACATGACTCCACCACCGCCCTGCTGACGTCGCAGCCTTGTTGGAACAGGGTGGCCATCCACCAACCATCCACTACTCTATCCATCTGAACCATCCAGGGTTGTACGGCACTCATAAGTGAACAGGACTGTTTGAAAATTAGTCTTCATGTATTTTTCTGCCCAATGCATCCGTTTCTGCTTGTGAGCATTGGTTATTGGTGGCCGAATGGAAGGTTTATGCACAGTTGCAAGACTCTGGAGGACGCTACACCTTGATGTCTGTGGGACTCCAGAGGCACCAGCAGCTTCAAATATCTGTTTGCTGCTATGTAATGGTATTTTAGCAGCTGCTCTCTTGATCCGATGCATGGATCTGGCAGAAATCTTCCTCAATGTGCCTTTATCTGCACGAACCCGTCTGTGCTCTGAATCAGCCACAAATCTCTTAATAGTGCGATGATCAGGCATAGGTTTTCGTGAAATATCTTATGTTTTCATACCTCGTCCACGGCATTGAACTATTTCACTCTTTTCGGCAGCAGAGAGATCCTTTTTCTTCCCCATATTGCTTGAAAATGGTGCTCTGCTTAATAATGTGGAACACCCTCCTTTAGTAGTTTTTCCTTAAATTGGGCTCACCGGCCAATCTAATTATCACAGGTGTCCGAGATTGTTTTCAGTGATCAAAAGAGCCCTAACACACAATGCCATCCATGAGTTAAACTGAAAAACAAAATATTTAATCTTTGTGACACTTAAATAGAATTTGCATAATAATTTGGAACACGGTGTATATATACCGCCATTTGTAGACGCTATAACTTTCACGTAAACCAATTAATTTATACATATTGGGATTTTTTTTTTAGCAAAGACATGTTGCAGAATACATTTTGGTCGAAAATTATGACGAAATTTGATTTTTAAATTTTTTTACTGGACATGTTTTATAGCAAAAAGTCCAAAATATTTTTTTTCTCAAAATTGTCAGTCTTTTTTTTTTATAGTGCAAAAAAATAAAAACCTCACAGGCGATCAAATACCACCAAAAGAAAGCCCAATTCGTGGGGAAAAAAGGATGTAAATTTAATTTTGGTGCAGTGTTGCATGACCGCGCAATTGTCAAAGTGACGCAGTGCCATAACACAAACCGCTTTCCTGACCGCCCTTTAGCAGAAATACTGCTACAGGGCGGCACAAATGCACAAAATCACACATTCACTCCCCTCCCAGATGGCATCAGATTGCCTGTCAGTACACCAGTCATCACATTTAACCCCTTGATTGCCAGGAAGACGCTCATACACTATAAACCTCCATTACTAGTATAGTGTCTGAACGGATCAATATCTTTGATCAGATCAGCACTATACCAGCGTTCACATTAGCATAGCGTCCCCAAAAACACAGCGTTAGCGGGATCAGCCCCGGCACCTGCCAGCACCTGCGTTTAGCCCCTACTCTTACCCCCCTCCCCCTCCAGCAAGTGCACTGCCAGTAGGTCACTGTCACTTGATCCATTGCACACAAAACCGCAGTGTTTGCAGAATCAGGCCTGATCTCTGTTAGCACTTGCCGGTAAATTTTGATGACTCTCATATGCAGCAGAGTGCCAGTACTAGTGCCGCGCTACCTTTTGGTGAACTGGCGAGCACCAGCGCCCTAGTACATCTTGGTCTTTCACATACCTCTTAGATTGTAAGCTCCCAGGATCAGGCCTTCCTAACCCTCTTGTATTGAACTGTATTGTTGCTGTATTGTCTCCCATTATATTATAAAGTGCTGAGCAAACTGTTGGCGCTATATAAATCCTGTATAATAATATTAATACCAGCACTGCAGTATCACTTGGCAACGTGGCGAGTCCCATAAGTGCAGTACAAGCTGGTGTGGTGGCGAGCACAAGTATTGTCCCGCAACCACCAAAAATTCGCACACAGGCCCGTAGAACCCCTAGTATCCTTCCAGATGTTCTTGCAAATCCCGATTGGCAGCCCACAAATTCGGCAGCACCCGTACTTCCCCCATTTACTGCCCAACCCAGAATTCAGGTGTAAATAGAAAATTTAACTACTCCCCTTGATTTTTTGTAGCTGTTTTTCATGGAAGATCTGTATGCATTGATTGTGGATCAAAGCATTTTATATGCACAACAATGTATCGCCGCCAACCAAAATTCAAACCTTTCCAGACCATTCGCATGGAAACTCAATACGGTTTTCGAATTTATATTTTTTGGGGGCCTAACCCTCAACATGGGCATTACTAAAAACAGGCACTGGGCCATCGGGCGGAACAGCAGGCACCGGGCCATCAGGAGGAGCAGCAGGCACCGGGCCATCAGGAGGAGCAGCAGGCACCGGGCCATCAGGAGGAGCAGCAGGCACCGGGCCATCAGGCGGAGCAGCAGGCACCGGGCCATAAGGAGGAGCAGCAGGCACCGGGCCATCAGGAGGAGCAGCAGGCACCGGGCCATCAGGCGGAGCAGCAGGCACCGGGCCATCAGGAGGAGCAGCAGGCACCAGGCCATCAGGAGGAGCAGCAGGCACCGAGCCATCAGGCGAGGCAGCAGGCACCAGGCCATCAGGTGGAGCAGCAGGCACCGGGCCATCAGGCGGAGCAGCAGGCACCGAGGCATCAAGCTCGACAGCGGGGTACCGAGTCATCTGGCAGAACAGTGGGCACCGAGTCACCAAGCTTGACAGCGGGCACCGAGTCAACTGGTACGACAACGGGCACTGAGTCAACTGGCACGACAATGGGCACCGAGTCACCAAGCTCGACAGCGGGTTCTGAGTCACCTGGCACGACAGCGGGCACCGAGTCACCAGGCACGACAGCGGGCACCGAGTCACCAAGCTCGACAGCGGGCTCTGAGTCATCTGGCACGACAGCGGGCACCGAGTCAGGCCGGATCGGGTCATCAGGCTGGGTAGCGTAAACTAGATCATCAAGCTGGATAGGATCATCAGGCGGATCGGGTCATCAGGCTGGATAGCGGGCACTAGATCGTCAGGCTGGGTAGGAACATTAGGCCGGGTAGCGTACACTGGGTCATCGGGCATCAGGGTATCAGGCTGAATTGCGGGCACCGGGGCACCAGGCTGAACCACAGAAGGCGGGTTCTCAGACGGCAGGCTTACCGGTTTGGATACTGGCAGGATGATACTGGTTGGAAAGAATTTTTGCCTTTTCCTGGATTTAGTTACTGGAGCACTGTAAGTAAGTGCAGGTTTGTAAACGGATAGAGCAGCTGTAGGCAGAGAAGAGCTGGGGGATGGAACAAAGGAGGGAGCAGTTGCTACAGAGGACTTCTTTACAGGGTTAAAGGCAGGATAGGTGCAGTGAGTGGGAGCAGGGGACTGACATGTGGTAGCTAGCAGGGTATACTGGGCTGTCATTGGGGGTGCTGTCGGGAGTGCAGGAAGAAAGCTTTGAGCAGAGAATGATGAGAAGCAGGACTGGTTTGTTGCAAGCTGACTAAGGCTGGGTGTAACAAGTCTGCCCAGGACTGTAGTATGGGTTGAACACAACTCCGCTTACACATAGCCTGTCTGACCAAAGACTGCACTGCGTCTATACACTCCATTAGCACATGTGATGGACAAGCTGCATAATGCTCATGGAAGCAATCTGGATACTCCTCCAACAACCATACCAGCGATTCCACTTGATCTGCACTGAATGGGGGAAAAAAGTCATCCCTGCTTTCAGGGGTACTAGCTGAAGCCAACTCCACACAAGCCTGAATTAATGGTTGCACCTCAGAGAACTCTGTGCCCTGATCTACCAGGGAATGCGCGACCCCTATGCATTCTAGCAGCTGATCCCTGGTATACTCCTGCAGAGTCTCAGAGGCATATTCTTTGTCATCAAAGACTAGCAGACACAAGTATATAACCTCCTCCGGATGCATCCTTCACAACAATAAGCCAAGATGGCTTCCCTGTGCAGCCACTTCTGGTCAGGAATGGCCTTGGTATAATGTCAGGGATCCAGGTATGACCAGAGATGTGTGGACTGACACAGGTTAACAGAAGGCTTCAGAAATGATTAAATAATAATAATATTTATTATGAGCTGCACAAAATAAACAAACACAGTGCAAAACAAAACAAACAAACTAATAGGTACAGGTGCAGTCAGGGCTGGAGAGGTGGAGTGGTCAGGCAGGCCGGGTCAGGAACAATCAGGCAGAAAGGTACAACGGGAGCAGGCAGAAGAATGGTCAGGAATAGCCGGGATCAGTGCACGCGGAGTTCTATCAGAGTCAGAGTCAAGCAGGAGAGTCAAGCAGGCAGGAGACAGGATACAGGAAAAGGGCACATGGGAAACAAACACCAAGGCACTGACTGCAGGTCTGGCCATTCCTTAAATACACCTCCTGCAATCAGCCTCAGGTGATGGCTGATTGCAGGAGTGAGCTTCTGGTTGCTGAGAGCACCCGCTGGCCAGCCCTGGTACTGCAGCCCACAAGGCAGGTGAGTCCAACCACTATTGGCGAGTCCATTCCTGACAGGTTATACCAGGATGATGCCTACAGCTGCGATCGGCTTTCATGTAAAAGCAATCCTAGTGGCTAATTAGCTGCAGGATTGCTTTTACAAGCTGCGGGAGACAATGACCTCCTCTGTAAATGTAAAATGGTAGCTTGTAAAGGCTTTTAAAACGTTGCCTATGGATATTAAAAAGTTAAAAGCCATTGCATGGGGCATGCACAATTTTTAAAGCATGTCATGCTTGGTATCTATTTACTCAGCATACCATCATCTTTTATATTTTACCAAATAGTTGGCCAATATATTGTGTTTTTGTGCATTAAATGTAAAAAAAAATTTATTTTTTTTTAAAATTGTGTTTGAAAAATCGCTGCGCAGTACTATGTGACATAAAAAATTGCAGCACCCAGAATTTTATTTACTATGGTGTTTGCTTTTAAAAAATATATAATGTTTGGGGTTTAAATTAATTTCCTAGCAAAAAATACTGACTTTTTTCATGTGAACAAAAAGTGTCAGAAAAGGCTTGGTCTTCAGGTGGTTAGAAGAGTGAGTGATGTGTGGCATAAACTTCTAATGCTGGGCATAAAATGCCCCCACCCCCTAAAGCAACCCCTTTTTGGAAAGTAGATACCCCAAACTATTTGCTGAGAGGCATGTTGAATCAATAGAAGAATTTATTTATTACCACAAATTTTTGGAAAATGACAAACAAAAAGTTTTGTTATTTTTTTTTTTACACAAAATTGTCACTTAAATGATTTATTGCTCACACATGCCATGGGTATATGTGGAATTGCTCCCCAAAATACATTCTGCTACTTCTCCCGAGTATGGGGGTACCACATGTGAGAGACGTTTTGGCAATCTAGCCAAGTACAGGACCCCAAAATCCAATAAGCACCTTCAGGCTTTTAAAGGGCTTTATTTCCTCATTACACTTCCTGACTACCTATCACAGTTTCGGAGGCCCTGAAATACAAGGATAGCAGGAAACCCACCCAAATGGAAAGTAGGCACCCCAAGGAATTTGATAAGAAGCATGGTGAGTAGTTTGCAGATTTCATTTGTTGCCACAAGTTTTTGGAAAATGAAGAAAAAAACAAAAACATTTTTTGTTTTCTTTTTTTATATTTTAAAACCTTGTGAGAAAAAACTAGATCTGCAAAATACTCACCATGCCTTTTTTTAAATTCCTTGGGATGTCTACTTTCCAAAAAGGGGTCATTTGGGGGGGGGGGGGGGGTTGTGCTATCCTGACATGTCTGGGCCTTCAAAACTGTGATAGGTAGTGAGGAAGTGAAATGAGGAAGTCACGGACCTTCAGGCTTTCAAAAGGGTCATTGGATTTCAGGCTCCTGTATGTGGCTAGGCTCCCAAAAAGTCTCACACATGTGGTATCCCCATACTCGGTAGAAGTAGCAGAATGTATTTTAGGTGTAGTTCCACATATGCCCATGGCTTGTGCAAGAAATATATATAATTTAAATGACAACTATGTGTAAAAAAAAAATTGCATGACTGTGCAATTGTCAGTTAAACTAGCACAGTGCTGTATAGCAAAAAAATGGCGTAAATTGCAGTATCTGTACCATAGTTTGTAGACGCTATAACTTTCACAAAAAGCAATCAATATACACTTATTGGGATTTTTATTACCAAAAACGTGTAGCAGAATACATTTTGGTCTAAATTTATAACTAACTTTGAGTTTACTATATATTTTTTATAGCCGAAAATAAAAAATATAGTTTTTCTTCAAAATTTTTGGCCTTTTTTTTTTATAGCGTGAAAAATAAAAAGTGCACAGGTGATCAAATACCACCAAAAAGAAAGCTTTATTTGTGTGAAAAAAAAGACGTAAATTTTCATTTGGGTTCAGCATTGCATGACCGCGCAATTATCAGTTGATTTAGTGCAGCGCCAAGTAGCAAAAAGAGGCCTGGTCATTAAGGGGGGTAAATCCTCTAGAGGGCAAGTGGTTAATGGTCAGCTGACATTGTTGCCCGCACCTGACCCACTGTCAGTCCTGGTCATTTAGAGATGTATATCTCCCTGCTCCGAAGTGTAAATTGCCCTTCTGTTAGCTAACTTTTAAATAGGCTCTGCACAGCTGACATTACTGCCATCATTTGTTGATAGATGGCAACTGTTTTGTAAACTTTACTTCAAAATGGTAAATAAACACCTCTTAAAAAAAGAATACAATGATCACTGCCGGTTACTATAGCAAAAAAAAAAAAAAAAAATCCAATAGGCTTGTTGTACTGAAGTCAATCGATAGCCTGCCTAGAGATAGATTGAAACTCATCCAGTTCCTGCTGAACCAGCTGAATTTCAATCTGTCTATGGCCTGCTTAACCTTGCAGTGGGGCACAGCAAGGGTTAAATGCTCATTTTTGTCTAGGGTACCATTACAATGCAGTTTACTTTACCTTACCCTTTGATCCCCCAGCAGGTTATGTTCTCTTCCTGCCTTTGATGCTCCAAGTTGTTGACAGGCCCTCAGCATTCTTACTTACAATGCAGGACTACTGGTCCTGCATTGTACGTGGAGACATCAGAGCGCGTCCAACAGACAGACAGAAGAGGTTTGGGGGGACTGGACCACAGCAAGGAGGAAGCCTGCAGGAGTGAGGGATTAAGTAAAACTACATTTAAATGTACCCCAGATAATGTATTCTTTTCTGTTTACATTCTCTTTAACTTTTTTCCTATTCTGCCTCTTAGTTTTTTCTTTTAATGCAGATTAATAGATAATGGTAGAAAGTAGACAGCATACTATGCTCTATAATTTCAAGGCTTAAGCTGGGTACACACTAGAAGTTTATTTTTTTCACTCTGCCGAATACAGAAAACAAAACAGAGGGATCGCATTACTAACACAAGAGATGTATTCTAACAGGAGGATTCCCCCTCCTCACCAGAGCACACTGATCAGCGCTAAACATATGCTGGTTTTCCAACAGGCCTGTTCGACAGAAGCCGTCGTGACCGGCTTCTGTAGAACAGACAGCTGTACAGATGCCCCCCCCATCCCCATGTGTACAAAGCTTTACAGTCTTTTGCATATACTTTATACCCTTGACTGTGCAACACAGCAATGGTTCAATTGTCTGCTTATGGTTCTCTGCTTGTATGACAATACTGGTGAACAGATTTTTACTGCAAATGACCTTATACCACATAAACTCCATATCGTAAAAACGCAATAAAAAAAACTTTGTACTGGCTCTACCAGAGAGAAGTATCATTGGTCATACCCTCTCTGTCACCCCTAGAGACCCCTTG